TGCCTGGCCTGTTGAGGTCCCTGCTCTGCCAACCTGCTGCTGCTGCCTGCTGCGCACATGCTAGCTATGTCCAGAGCTCAGAGGCCCCTGATCCCAGCAATGTGTGATGCCTGCACACGTGGCTTTGGCAGCAACACCTTGAGAAGGCTTAAGGATTCTGGTAACACTGGTGACCAGGGCATTGACAGACTCATCTCAGTATTTGAGTCAGTTCTAAGGCAATGTCTATTGTGAAGAGAAAGTATCTTGACTGTTTTTCCCAAACCAGTCAATCTTTCCAGTAACATATTTTAAAAAGCCTCATGTTAAATGAGAGCAGTGCAAGGTGTGGTTATAAAGAAAAGAGACTAGTGTTTATGACATAGATAAGTCTGTAAAACACAGACATATTTTATGGATGCTAATATGCCAGTAGCAGTAACAGTAACATTAGTTAGTAGAGATTGAGGTAAGCCTTTCCACACATACTGTCTCATTTAATCTTCACAACAACCCTGTAAATGTAGGAAATACTAATCTGTTCAACAGATACTTGAGTACCTATATGGTATTGGCGCTGTGAGAATATGGTGTAGAAGAGAACAGACAAAGGTTCCTGTGCTCACTTGAGCAGCTTATGGTACAGTGGGGAGCCAGGCATGCCCCCCAGGGACCAGACATAGCAGAATCATGTAGAGGGATGAGTACTCAAGGTCTCATGTCAGAGCTGTAGGATAGGATGAGGTCATCAAGACATGCTTCTGGAGTGGACAGTTGGACTGAGAAAGAAGCTGGGGTGTAGGGGGGCAGGGTGGCGCCTTTGGAGGGAAAAAATCAGTGCTCCTGGACGGTCTGTGGGGTGTGTCATTTTCTGTCCTATTAAGTTGCTCTTTATGTGGATTTATTTTCTCCCCAGGTAGATCAAAATCTTCCGGAGGGCAGGTTCTGTGTCTCTTTCCTTCATGTTTGTCACTATTCCTAGCACAAAATAGGTTCCAGTAAATGTTAGTTGACATGAATTGGTAACTTGATTGGATGGCTAAAGGATGTGTAGTGTATAAGACACCATATCTACCTTGTAACATTTTTGGATGTCAAGAAACAAATATTTATTGAGGCTACGAGATTAGAAATTAAAGACAAGCCTTGCTTCCTGTGCCCATTAAGGAGCTCAGAATCTGAACGTAGAACACCCAGCAGAGCAGGTGGAACAAGCAAGTATACCGTGTCAGGATTTCCCAGCTCCCCCATCTGTGGAGCTCATTGGGTCAGGCTTCCCAAGAAGCATATGCCACACCATTTGGGGTGGCCAGTCACCCATATGGCAGATGGCATGTGTGCAGAGGCTTGTGAGCGGGGCTGCAGAGAAATAACAGCTAGTGGAGAGGAGATCGGCTGGCCTGTGTTTCTCTAGTGCTGTCATGTAGAAACGCTTGATTCAGGCAAGTGATTGACAGGGCATAAGCCTCTGTCCTGACACTCTGCCTCTGTCCTCGGGTAATATTTGTTGAGAGTTCAAGGGCATAATATCTCAGTCCCACGCGGCTCTGCTGTGAAGGCCCCCCTGGTGAACTGCTCTTTTATCCAGCTTCTCCTGTGTCCAGCAGAGGAGTGCAGACACAACATTGTTAATAGCAACACATTTTACAAGATTTACCTCTTCAAACCCCACCCCCCTAAAAACCGTAGCTTCTTTAATGTCCTGCTGGCTGTGTGAAAAACAGGAATTTATGTAACAAGCCCTGCACAGCAAACCTTTTCCTGTTCGGAAAAAATTTTAATTGTTGGCAAAGTTAGGAGACAGCTCTGTTACTCAAAGAGCGACCTGAGATGTCCTCTTAGAAAAATATGTAATATGATGTTTTGATAAGAGAGTGCTGTGGCTTTTAAAAAAATGTCTAAATTAGTACACGTCCCACCTGAGTTAGTGAACACTTCTTGAACATTTTAAAGATTTTATTATTGTGTCTCCTGCAGTCTTATTAAAAATGACTCCTAGCTGCGCTTGCCAGTGATCTGACAGGCTCATCATGAATGTTACAGAGCTGTAACCCCTCGCCCCAAGTCAGTACAACAACCAGGAAGCTTCTATCTGGGAAGATCTTTCTTCCCCCTTTATCATTAACTAAATGTGACAGGGACAGGAGTCAAGCTTCCTCTCCTCCGGTGATTTCATTGGAGTTTATCTGTGTGTCTATTGTGTTCAAAGAACAAAACTGTCATGATGGAATATTGTGCAAATGCCTGGACTTCCAGTGTATGGAAAACGTCGCAGGGTCAGAGTGCAGGACTGCATATGACTGCATTCCAGCGCTACTCCGGGGGCAGGCCTGCTGATCTTAAGGAGGAATTAAGGACTCTGTTTGGTGGGCTCAGACAAGGGCAAGACCTATGGCTCTGTGAGCATGCAGTGTGTGTGTAGCGCCTTCCCATAGGAGCTTGGGAATCTATCTTACCGGAATGAAAAAGGACGGGAGGGAAATGTAGTCCTTGGCCTCTTTTAGGGATTCTTGAACCAACTCTAAGCCCCCGGCCCTCTTCACAGCATGTCTCAAGGTGAGGGTAGATCTTGGATGTGGAGGAAGGTGGGGAGTCTTGGGAATGGGAGACAGTCACTGCCATGCACTCACACACCTGCTCTGCTCCAGCTGGAAATCTGGGCTCTGGCCGTGTCTGCCCCTGCACTCCCACTCGCTGTATGCTCTGGCAGGAGGGCTTGTCACGTAGCTGCTGTGTTGAAATCCGTGGGTGGAATGCAGTACAGAGGGTCAGAGGGCGTTTTGAAATGTGGATTTCTCAGCCCTGACTGCTGGGCCTTACTCTGACTTTTGCATCTTCTTTTAGAAAGTGAGGCCCCCTCCGTTTTCTCTTTTCTACCACTTTTTAATGAGAGAGGACTTCTCTCCCAGTTTGTGTTGGAGCTGGGCCTCATCTGGCTGTGCAGAGGCTCTGCTCAGGTGCAGCAGTTGGCACTCGGGCTCCTGCGTCCCATGTTGATGGCATGAGGATGTGGGCACTGTGGCTGCACCCCTGGGTGACCACAAATCCAGCCAGAGCTTTTTGTGGTTGAGGAGAGGGGCCACAGACATGCAGGGGGCTTGGTCAGCTGAGCCTTGCATCCAGTTGGCAGAGGAGGCCAAGGAAGCTGGGAGACTGTGCACATTCCAGGGGATTAGGGCACCCAGAATCTCACTCCTTGCCTTGCGAGCAGACCTCTGAGGAAAGAGGCGCTGAATGAACAAGGTGCAGTGGCTGTGTGCCCTGTGTTGTGCTGGGGTGCAAAATGCTGTAAGACAACGTCCTTCCTCCTGGGGAGCTCACAGTGTTTCCCATGTCTCCTTTTCCACGTGTCCCCTGGGCTCTCCTGAATGCCATCTTACAACGTGTTGTAGAGGAGATGAATCAAACCATGGCTTTCTCACCTGCAGCCTGGCTCTGTTGTTTCTGCTGAAGCTTGAAAGACTACCTCTGGCCCCTTTCACCATATATTTGCACTTGTGGGTTTATGTCTATAATACTTTTAAGCTCCTACCCATACCACACTGAATAGGAATAGGGAAGCAGGACTTTGGGGGTGCAGAATATCACTATTCTAAGTTGGGGTCTAATATTCCCTTCATAGTGACTGCTTATATGCCAGGTGCCACTGAGCATTTTTATGTATCTCATTTAATACATGTAACAACCCTGATAAGGTACTGTAATTTATTCCTGCTTTACAGGTAAGGAAACTTAAGAATACATTGGGGCTAGGCAGCTTCCCAAGGTCATGTAGGTTAGTAAGTAGCAGAGCCACCAAGTGCTCAAAAGAAAAGTGTTTGGTTTTTCTTCCCTAGTTGGCCCAGGGATGATAGACGTGGCATGATTAGTCATGAAGCTGCACTAGCTTGAGTGTTATAGCTCTTCTCGTTCTCTTATCATTTCTTCCCATCCCAGGTTGTCTCTTTGGACAGTGTAGCCCCTGCCTATCTGGGGCTGTGTCATGGAGTTAGTTGGTGTATCCTACTCGTACTACTGGTTATTGGTAGAACTGGAGGGTAGGGGCACTACTTGAATAAAAAAAAAAAAATTGTTTTGCCAGGTCAGCTTTCTCAAATAAAAAAGCAGTGACTCTGTTTTCCTTATATTCACTTGTGCTTGCTTAACAGGCTTTAAAGGTGTGAATGAATCCAAGTCTTACTGGTTTGGGGGCCTTTAATTTTTGATCAGCTCTATATTCTTCTTTTGTGGGAGTGTGGGGGTGGGATGGAGTGTTTAACTCTTGTCGCCCAGGCTAGAGTGATCTTGGCTACTGCAATCTTAGAGTGATCTTGGCTACTGCAATCTGTCTCCTAGATTGAAGTGATTCTCCTGCCTCAGCCATCCAAGTAGCTGGGATTACAAGCACCTGCCACCATACTGGCTAATTTTTGTATTTTTAGTAGAGATGGCGTTTCACCACCTTGGCTAGATGGGTCTTGAACCTGCCTCAGCCTCCCACAGTGCTGGGATTACAGGTGCGAGCCACCATGCTTGGCCTATATTCTTTCTAGTCTTTTGTCTTTTCTGTTTTCTATAAGTATGTGGTGCCAGTATTACGAAACTCTTTTATGTAAATAGCACATGTATAAGCTGAAGAGAATTGGCAGTAGTTTTAAGGATAGTTGAAATGGAAAGGGTTTTTGATAGCATTTTGTTACAGAGTATTATTGTAGCTAAGCAAAATTTCAGCAGTTATTAAAACCAGTTCTTGCAATTTTTCCATAAAACTTAGCTGTATAAAAGAAGGTGTTTATAATAGTTCTTGTTACAATTTTGTCCCTTCATTAAATAAGATACAGATACTGTTTTTAAGATACTATTTAATCCTATGCTATTCGCCATCTTTTGTAGTGGGTTGGGAAGCATTGGGACTGTTCAGATGGAAATCTGTACCACAAACTCTTAAAATTTTTTACTTGTTTTCCCTGTAATACATGTAGAATAGTAAGTTTTCCAAGCAGAGAAGTATTGTACTTTTAATACGATATTTTGCTTTACAGAATTCAATTCGTCATAATCTGTCCTTACACAGCAAGTTCATTCGTGTGCAGAATGAAGGAACTGGAAAAAGTTCTTGGTGGATGCTCAATCCAGAGGGCGGCAAGAGTGGGAAATCTCCCAGGAGAAGAGCTGCATCCATGGACAACAACAGCAAATTTGCTAAGAGCCGAAGCCGAGCTGCCAAGAAGAAAGCATCCCTCCAGTCTGGCCAGGAGGGTGCTGGGGACAGCCCTGGATCACAGTTTTCCAAATGGCCTGCAAGCCCTGGCTCTCACAGCAACGATGACTTTGATAACTGGAGCACATTTCGCCCTCGAACTAGCTCAAATGCTAGTACTATCAGTGGGAGACTCTCACCCATTATGACCGAACAGGATGATCTTGGAGAAGGGGATGTGCATTCAATGGTATACCCACCATCTGCTGCAAAGATGGCCTCTACTTTGCCCAGTCTGTCTGAGATAAGCAGTCCCGAAAACATGGAAAATCTTTTGGATAATCTCAATCTTCTCTCATCACCAACATCATTAACTGTTTCGACCCAGTCCTCACCTGGCACTATGATGCAGCAGACACCATGCTACTCATTTGCACCACCAAACACCAGTCTGAATTCGCCCAGCCCAAACTACCAAAAATACACATACGGCCAATCCAGCATGAGCCCTTTGCCTCAGATGCCTATGCAAACACTTCAGGACAGTAAATCAAGTTATGGAGGGATGAATCAGTATAACTGTGCACCCGGACTCTTGAAGGAGTTGCTGACTTCTGACTCTCCTCCCCATAATGACATTATGACACCAGTTGATCCTGCGGTAGCCCAACCCAACAGCCGGGTTCTGGGCCAGAATGTCATGATGGGCCCTAGTTCGGTCATGTCAACCTATGGCAGCCAGGCGTCTCATAACAAAATGATGAATCCCAGCTCCCATACCCACCCTGGACACACTCAGCAGCCATCTGCAGTTAACGGGCGTGCCCTGTCCCACACAGTAAGCACCATGCCCCACACTTCGGGTATGAACCGCCTGACCCAAGTGAAGACACCTGTACAAGTGCCTCTGCCTCACTCCATGCAGATGAGTGCCCTGGGGGGCTACTCCTCAGTGAGCAGCTGCAATGGCTATGGCAGAATGGGCCTTCTCCACCAGGAGAAGCTCCCAAGTGACTTGGATGGCATGTTCATTGAGCGCTTGGACTGTGATATGGAATCCATCATTCGGAATGACCTCATGGATGGAGATACATTGGATTTTAACTTTGACAATGTGTTGCCCAACCAAAGCTTCCCACACAGTGTCAAGACGACGACACATAGCTGGGTGTCAGGCTGAGAATTAGTGAGCAGGTAAGTTCACCCCAATATCAAAAGACCTTTTGAAAAATAGAACTTGAAAGAGAGGAACACAGTAACCTGCCATATATCTTCCATGGTTAGCACATCTTTGATGTCAACTGACTGCCTCTTGCAGAGTGGGATCTTTTATCATTCATTCTCTGTCCTTTTGGCAGCTTAGCAGTTTTCCCTCTGAGCTTAAACATAAGGAAACTTCCTTTAACTGCTTTAAAGAGTTCTTTTTGACGGTTCGATGGCTGCATCTTTTTAGTAGCTCTTCAGTAAATCAATATATTTGATATACATCAAATGCCGAAGGGTTTTCTGTAAAGTAGAATTTTCCCTGTTGCATAATTTTAGAGCTGTTTGGGAAGCTCTAGCTTTTTGACCCTAAGTAATGTCTGTCACTCTAACATGTTAAGTTGAATTGATTTTAATTTGGCTGTATTTTCATTGTGTGTGTATGTGTTTTTTCCTAGGTTACACTTAAAAGTACTTCAGATTGTCTGACAGCAGGAACTGAGAGAAGCAGTCCAAAGATGTCCTTCACCAACTCCCTTTTAGTTTTCTTGGTTTAAAATAAATAAATAAATAAATTAACCTTCCTTTTTTTCTTTCGTCAAACTTGGCAGCAAAGACATTTTTCCTGTACAGGATGTTTGCCCAATGTGTGCAGGTTATGTGCGGCCGTAGATAAGGACTGTGCCATTGGAAATTTCATTACAATGAAGTGCCAAACTCACTACACCATATAATTGCAGAAAAGATTTTCAGATCCTGGTGTGCTTTCAAGTTTTGTATATAAGCAGTAGATACAGATTGTATTTGTGTGTGTTGTTGGTTTTTTAAAATATCCATTTGGTCCAAGGAAAGTTTATACTCTTTTTGTAATACTGTGATGGTCTCATGTCTTGATAAGTTAAATTTTTGTTTGTACTACCTGTTTTCTGCGGAACTGACGAATCACAAAGAACTGAATCTCCATTGTGCACCTCCACTGAACAGCTTTGGACCTGTTCACGTTGCCACAGAATTCACATGAGAACCAAGTAGCCTGTTATCAATCTGCTAAATTAATAGACTTGTTAAACTTTTTGGGGGGGGGAAAAAAAGATTAAATGCCAGCTTTGTACAGGTCTTTTCTATTTTTTTTTTTTTGGTTTATTTTGTTATTTGCAAATTTGTACAAACATTTAAATGGTTCTAATTTCCAGATAAATGATTTTTGATGTTATTGTTGGGACTTAAGAACATTTTTGGAATAGATATTGAACTGTAATAATGTTTTCTTAAAACTAGAGTCTACTTTGTTACATAGTTGGCTTGTAAATTTGTGGAACCACAGGTATTTGGGGCAGCATTCATAATTTTCATTTTGTATTTCTAACTGGATTAGTACTAATTTTATACGTGCTTAACTGGTTTGTACACTTTGGGATGCTACTTGGTGATGTTTCTGACTAATCTTAAATCATTGTAATTAGTACTTGCATACTCAACGTTTCAGGCCCTATTTGGGCAGGAAAGTGATGTATAGTTATGGATACTTTGCGTTTCATATTTAGGATAACTTAATATGTTTTTATGTCTGTATTTTAAAGAAATTTCATCTGCTTCTGCTGAACTATGCGCACTGCATAGCATCAAGTCTTCTCTAGAGACCTGTGTAGTCCTGGGAGGCCCCATAATGTTTGTAGATCAGAAAGGGAGATCTGCATCTAAAGCAATCCTCATTTGTCAAACGAGGGATTTTGATCAACTTCACCATTCTGAGTTGAGCTTCAGCAAAAGTTTACCCTCATAATTCTGTGCTCTTGTTTCAGTCCAGGTAGAGGTAGGTTTTGTAGTTTGCCTTGGGGAATTATGTCAACATTTGCACTTCATCCCATTCTCCCTTCTGCTCTGCAGATTAGATTACTTAGCACACTGTGGAAGTTTAAGTTGAAGGAGGAAATATAAAAACGGGACTTGAGTGGTTTGTAGAATGTGTTTATAAGTTCAGATGGGTAGCAGATGGAGTAGAACTTACTTACAAACTGGGGAGATTAATTTGAAGACCAGCAAACCAGCTGTAAGTTGTACCTTGAGATAATGTTAAAAGCCTTGGCTTAGGATTTTGAAAATGTCTTTAGCCTGTAGCAACCTAAAGTATAATTCTTATCATCATGTTTTAGTACTTTCCAACTACATATAACTGACACGCCAAATTAATTGGCTTTGTGTCCTATTTATTCCATCAGTATTTTCAAGTCACGTGGAAAGCGCAAAGTCATCACGATGAAGAGAACAGGTGCACAGTACTGTTCCTCTTGCATTCTTGAGAGGGATCTAATTTCTGTATATATAGTCCACATACACTTGCTTTGTCTTGTATGTTAATTGCATCTTCATTGGCTTGCTATTTCCTAAATGTTTCACAAGAACACAAATGTTCCTGATAAGATTTCCTATAGTAGGCCAGCTGTATAGTAAGCTTTCCACTGTGATGTTCATTGTTTTGAAGATTCATTGAACAACCACCACTCTAACCATTCTCACTGATGGGCACTCCAAGACACAGCTGGTTTTCGAAACCCGAGTTCCTCTAAGCACAGCCTCCCAGGTATGTAATTGAACTTGGTGCCAAAGTACTTGTGTTCTCATTTCTGTTAGTGCATACTGTCACTTTTCCTCCCATGCCATTATTGCACCATTATACAAGGAACCTCAGAGCCCCCATTTGTTCATTAAAGAGGCAACTGCAGCTAAAAATCACTGTTAAAATCTTACTGCTTCATAGAGTAGCTCTTAGGAAAATATTTCTTCCTTCTGAGTCTGTGTAATTATACCTCCCCAACCCGCCATTTTGTATTGAAATCCTGACATGAATCATGGGTAGCTCTCCGAGAACAGTGAAGTCCAGGGAAAAGCATCTGGTCTGTCTGGAAAGCAAACATTATGTGGCCTCTGGTAGCTTTTTTCCTGTAAGAATACTGACTTTCTGGAGTGATGAGTATATATCAGTTATTGTACATGATTGCTTTGTGAAACGTGCAAATGATATCACCTATGCAGCCTTGTTTGATTTATTTTCTCTGGTTTGTACTGTTATTAAAAGCATATTATATTATAGAGCTATCCAGATATTTTAAATATAAAGATGTTTTTTTTTCCATAATATAGACGTATGGAATATATTTAGGTAATAGATGTATTACTTGGAAAGTTTTGCTTTGACAAACTGACAAAGTCTAAATTAATGAGCAAATGTTGTATCCCAGTGAGCAGTAAGTCAATGGAACATCCCAAGAGGAGGATAAGGACACTTAAAATGGAAATCATTCTCCAGCGATATACACTTTGGACTTGTTAACTGCTGAATATATACTTCCAATACCCCAGCCCTCCCCAACTCAAAATTCTTATGTTCAAGCTCTTAAGAGTTTCTTAATTTATAACTAATTTTAAAAGAGAAGTTTTTTTTTTTTTTGTGGTTTTAGTTTGGGCGTAATCATTCATTTAAAAAATGCATTGTGGTTTATGTGAACAGACCAGCCTGGCATTACAGTTGGCCTCTCCTTTAGGTGGGCACAACCTGGCAGTATGGCCAGGGATGGCCACGTGAGTCCCATCAGGGCATAGTCATGCCTCCTGCATTTCGCTACCCGAGTTTAGTAACAGTGCAGATTCCATGTTCCTGTTCCGATACTCTCTGAGAAGTGCCTGATGATGTTGATGTACTTACAGACACAAGAACAATCTTTGCTATAATTGTATAAAGCCATAAATGTACATAAATTATGTTTAAGTGGCTTGGTGTCTTTTCTAATTATGCAGAATAAGCTCTTTATTAGGATGTGTGTGTGTGTGTGTGTGTGTGTGTGTGTGTGTGTGTGTGTGTGTGTGTACAGCTATTAAATACTCAAGTCTTGTCAGCTACAGTGTCATGGTTGGTTCAAATTTGGTATTTTCTTGGGAGGAAAGGGGGAGCTGCCCCTCTGGGACCAAACCATAGTCCCCTGAGATGGGGAACACCTACAGTCCCTGATAACAGACAATCCTGGAGTACTTCATCTTTGGAATATCTGAAAACTACATCTGGTTCAGTGATTACTAGGCATATTCTATTTTATGTTAGAGTAGACTCTACTAAAGGTAAAAACATCTTGAGGGCAAGTTAGGAGGGTCTGATTAGGAGGTCACAGAGCAGATATGGAGGATGGAGTGGCAGAACCCTGTGGCTGAGGTCATAAGTGCTCCTTTACTTGCACACCTTGCTGAAGGAGGAGGGTCAGCCCTCCTTTCAGTGGCTGTAGATGGGAAGTTTATGTTTGCTCTTTTGAGAAGATGTCTGAGGAATGAGCCAGTATTGGATTAAGGTGGTTAAAATGCATTTTAAAATCAGTGTGAAGCCCAGTTTCTCCTTACTTCTGAGTTTCTGACCGGACAAGTGAATGAGCCGGAGAAACAAGGAAGATTATTCTGTTAATCTGTGTAGACACTTGCGGGTTCATCCTGCTTTCAGAATATTTTAAAATTTACCGACTTTTGGAAGTGGAAACCCTTTCTTTAAAAGACACGATAGCCAGAAGCTCAATGTATAGAACAGAGGAAAGCATCTACCCTCATCCCCTGGGGCCCATGCACGGTTCAGTGTGAAAACTGCAGATCTAGTCCAAATGAGGAAAAACCCCATGATTATCCCCCAGAACTCTTAACCAGTTAGCCTTCATAACTGCGCACATATACAAAGCTGCACATCTAATGTCATGACATGAGGCCAGATTCCAAATTTTAGATTAGCTGATAAACGACACAGAGCAGGAAGGTTTCCCTGGGATACCTTGTAGGAGGAGCTTGGTGTTAGATTCTGTAGGGGGAGAAGCTTCTTTCCTTGGACAGTTAACTGGGCCCTTGCTGTGACCAGAGCTGACAGCAGAATCAGGATGTGTACCTAGGCTTGTTTCTTGGCCTCTGAATTGGCCACACTGGAAGACTTTGCCTTGGCTATTGTTTCTCCATGTTTCAGGTGACCTGTAGCAATGGCACTACACTGGTTGATGGGGTTGAGTAAGGCAGGTGGAGGGCTCTTCCACTGGATATGCCGTGCTTAAGTGGCAGCCTCTGAAGCAGACATCATTATGTGCACATCAAACCTCATATCGTCTCGTGCTGCTCATTCTGGGCCACCACTAGGTATATTCTAGGTATGAAGGGATATTCATGGTAGGTTTCCTTGCTGCATTTTGTTGTTTTGGTGTAAAAGTTGCTTTGGTGAGAAATAGTTTAACATACCAGTTAAATTTATTGAGACAATTATTGGGAAAAAGCAGATTGGGGTCCAAGTCCACTTGTTAAATCATGGACTCTGGGGTGTTTTTTAGTTTAAGTAACTGGAAAGTGAAATTTCTGGTGGACTGGAAAGGGAGGTAGCTGTATGCAGGGATAAAGGAGAAAAACAAGTAACTGGGTGTTGGTAGGAAATACATCAGGAAACCAGACGTGAAGTGGAGCCAGAGGCCTTGGGAGGAAGCTACAGAGTGTCATGGGAGCATCTGGAAGTTAAGAACTTTCGAAGGCAACGGGGAGAGGGGCTTCCTGGGCAAGTGCCTGGCTTTGGCGATGTGGAGGAGGGAACTCTGTACTGAGAAGGCATTCACCTGTTACAAGAAGAGTAAAGCAGTTGAGGCCAGCTTTTCTTGCTTGACTGGTGGCAGGACACTTTTCTGCCCCCACATTTCCACGAACTCCAAGGCTGAAGTGACTGTCATGTCACTTTGGGGAGATATGACATGAGAAAGGTACTAATGGCAAGAAATTACATCCTTTAGGAAGAATGAGATTTCCTGAAGAGATCTCATTTACATCCTTCAGGAAGAAGGTTGCTTGCTCTTTGTCCTTTATATATTAACTTCTGTGAGCAAGCAACTTTCAGAAAGAACTCCTACAAAAACACATTGCAGATGGCTGCAACCCTTCTGGGTTCTTGTAGTTGCTGGAGTTTCTGCAAACATACTTGGCTTGTACCAAAATTGCTGCCCAAGTCTGATGACCTTAGTTAAGGTAACTGCCTAGAACAGGCGTCCCCAAACTATGGCCGGCGGGCCACATGCGGCGCCCTGAGACCATTTATCCGGCCCCCCGCCGCACTTCAGGAAGGGGCACCTCTTTCATTCGTGGTCAGTGAGAGGAGCACAGTATGTGGCGGCCCTCCAACGGTCTGAGGGACAGTGAACTGGCCCCCTGTGTAAAAAGTTTGGGGACGCCTGGCCTAGAATAAGGCTCACATTTTAAACCAGATTTGTCTTCCCTGATGAACTGGGATAAAGAGGAGGTCCGTTTGCACTTCAGCACTTGGTCCCAGAATAAGCCAGAGATGCCCAATTCTTAGTCTATGCTGGTGTCAGGGATGCTTGGAGTGCTTGCAGAGTGGTAACCTCTGTTGGCTTGGGCAGCAATTTCCCCACAGGTAAATTGAGGATACCTTCTGTTAACCTGCCTCTGGTTTGATAGGAGATTAGAGGGATGAGGTCATGTCTGCGAATGGTTTCCTGTGGCAGGGAGAAAGCCCGTACAGTGGAGTGGTGTCATCTTAGGTAATAGCAGGCCTTGGGATGTTTCCTTAGTGGGGCAGTCTGACAGCATCTGCTTGTAGAACAAGTGAGAGAATATTTGGTTCATCCCTAGTTTTTTTTTTTTTTTTTTTTTTTTTTGAGATGGAGTGCCCCTCTGTCACCCAGGCTGGAATGCAGTGGTGCGATCTCTGCTCACTGCAGCCATCACCTCCCAGGTTTGAGCGATTATCCGCTTTCTGAGTAACTGGGACTACGGGCATGCACCACCATGCCCAGCCATTTTTTGTATTTTTAGTAGAGATGGGGTTTCGCCATGTTGGCCAGGCTGGTCTTGAACTCCTGGCCTCAAGTGATATGCCTGCCTTGGCCTCCCAAAGTGCTGGGATTACAGGTGTGAGTCGCTGTACCTGGCCCCCAGTGTTTTTCTGCATTCTTATTTGCTGGTTTTGTTTCTTAAGCAGGAGAGTGTAGACAGTTTACAGACCCATTTCCAAGAGTAAGTAGGCCTGTCTTTATCTTCAGCAACTCTAAAGCATTATTGATAGTAAAACTGTAAACCTATATCCACCCAATACAAACTAGTATTGATATTTTTCCCCAAGAAGTTCCCCAACATGGACCCGTACTAAAAAAATTTACAGGCATTAGCTTTCTTGACCTTGACCTCACCCCAGTCTAGAATAGACTCTGTGGGACTCCATCTGTAAGATAGGGAGAGGGGAGAGGAGAGGAAAATCCTGAGGTCAATAGGGTCACAGTGGTGTGTGCTGGAGCCCAGTCACCTAATCCACAAAAATGGATTGTTAAACTTGCAGAAATGTTGTTAGCCAATTTTAAATACCTCCATTATCAACAAGTTAGATAAAATTATTATTATTTTTTTTTTTTTGAGGCAAGAGTTTCATTCTTGTTACCCAGGCTGGAGTGCAATGGCGCAATCTTGGCTCACCGCAACCTCTGCCTCCTGAGTTCGGGCAATTCTCCTGCCTCAGCCTCCTGAGTAGCTGGGACTACAGGCTGCGCCACCATACCCGGCTAATTTTTGTATTTTTAGTAGAGACGGGGTTTCACCATGTTGACCAGGATGGTCTCGATCTCTTGACCTCGTGATCCACCCACCTTGGCCTCCCAAAGTGCTGGGATTATAGGCGTGAGCCACCTCGGGCGGCCCTAGATAAACTATTGCATTTAAAAACAAAGATAGTAAATCCAAACTCTTCACTTTGCAACTATTGTACTCATGTTAGTTTTGTCCATCGTGGAGGTTGTTGGCAGCCACTGTGTTGCATGATGGGGATGCTGTGTAACGTTTGCCACTGTAACCGATCCTGTGTGTGGCTGCTCACTGCTTGAAAGCCAGACTCAAGACAAGGGGTGGTGGGAGGAAAACCAGGATTAATTGGAGAGGCAGCAAATGGAGAAGATGGTGAGCTAGCCTTCTGAAGTACCATCTTAAGTCAGTACAAATTTTAGGCTCTTTTTATGTTAAAGACAGAAGGAAGAGGAGGGGATTGAGATCAAGCGGTAACATGACCACAGACATCTGGGTGCCAGCAAGAGTTCAAGGAACTTCTTTATCCTTGGTCAGGTCACAATGCTCCTATAAACCTTTAACAAAAACATAGTTGTTTACATACTTCTCCTTTAATCCAGGAGTGAGTTTTTAAAACTACGTGATTGCTGTTTTTGCATATTAATAGTACTCTAAAATTATCCTTGCCTATGTGCAGGAAGGGGTAAGGACCACTCAAACCAAAATGGAATTAGTTATGTTACTTCTTTTTCTGTTTCGCTGTTACATGGCTGCTGTGCGATCACTAAGCAGAGTTTCAGCTTCTCTAATATAATTTGGGTGAGACTAAGAAATAGTTTAACAGTGAAATCACATCAGTTAAATTTATTGAGGAAAAAAGTGGATTGAGATGCAAGTCCATTAGTCAAGTCTTGGTTGAATGGCTACCATATGTTGGCTACAGATAAACCTTCACCAAAAAAATCAATGAAAGAATTCTGTGAGAATCAATTGACCTAATATAATTTACAATAAAGAGTATTGTGTATTTTATTTGCAAATCATTACTCATCTTTTATATCGGTAAATTCTTAATTTATGTACATATATACAGGCACACATTATTTCCCCACAGAGCAGTGGTTAAACATTGGCCAGCACACCACTGGCTGGGCGTATGAAGGCATTAAAGGACTCATGATTTTGGTTACAGAATAACAGGCAGA